CACACACACACACACACACACACACACACACACACACACACACACGACTCCTTGCAGTTGACAATACCCAAGGATATCCACAGTCAGCTGTCTAGGCTCATCATTAGCACTCCTGAGACCTCAACCATCACCATCTTTGGGAACTTGTCAGAAATGCAGACTCTCAGGGCCCACCACAAGCTGCCGGAGGGTGGACTCCAGCAGGACTTAACCACTGCATTTGATGAGCTTTCCTGGTGATCTGATACAAGCTGCTTTCTGAGAAACGCGGGCAATGCTTTGGTGTTTAACTCATGTGCTGGTTTGAACGAGCACTGTCTCAAGCTGGCAGCCAAAGGCAGCGCTGGGGACGGGGTAAGGGGCAACAGTTGCTCCTCAATGTCAGAGGTTGAACACTTATTCTAGAGCTCTTTTGAATTCTACCTGTCTCCTAGTCTTTGCTCAGGAAACACCTAATCTTTAGATCTCTTTACCAGCTCTTGAGCAGGATGGGGAAGTGGGAGGGGCTGGCTGCAGAGGAAGGAGGAACCTTAGGTTGGGACAGCATGTATAAACAGCCCTGGCTTTGTTTCCATTGAGTTTTTGGTGGCACTAGGGGATGAATGAGGGCCTCATGAGCTGTTTGTTCTTCTTGAGTTCCACCCACAGTCTCCCCTCAAACCTTGCTACTTACAGGAGGAAAAATTAAAAACCCACCTAATGTATAATAATGGAGAGGCTGGGGTCCAAAAGGAAACAAATAGGGGCTCCAGAGACCACGTGATGGTTAAGCACTTGCTGCTCCTGCAAAGAATCCCCAGCACCACCAGATCCCCAGCACCACCAGCCTAGACTCACAACCAAGCCCTCTCCTGGCCTCTGTGGGCAACTGCACGCACAGGACCATGCACAGACACAGACAGAGACGCATAAATTAAAAAAAAAAAAAAAGGTTTTTGGGAGCCGGTTGGTGGTGGCGCACGCCTTTAATCCCAGCACTTGGGAGGCAGAGGCAGGCAGATCTCTGTGAGTTCGAGGCCAGCCTGGGCTACCAAGTGGGTTCCAGGAAAGGCGCAAAGCTACATAGAGAAGCCCTGTCTATGGGTTTTGGACCAAAAGCAGAATAAAGGTTGCTGCAGTAAATATAATGGATGAAGGGAAGACTCTGAGTTGTGATTTCATTTTTTTCTTCTTGCTATACCTTAAAACTTTAATCACTGGAATTTGTCCCTAGCAAGTAGATTTCTGCATTGTTGAAATCTGGTGTTTGATATGGAATACATTCTTAGGGAATGGATTTATGTTATTCATCATTTTAATGGGTATTTCTTCTTCTCTGATTACTTATTTCTTGCTATTAATTTTATACCTATTTTATACTTTGGAAATGGTGTTAGACAAAAAGCAAATTGGAGGATTTTCTTATACAAGCTCAAAGTGAGTGGAACGGCGGTAGAGACAGCACGCAGCATCAACAGAGCATCTGGCCCAGGAACTGCTAAGGAGCTAAGTGCAATGGTAGGTCGAAACTTTTACAAAGATGACTCACTGTGAGTCACACCACAGCTTCCATAAGGAGATTTTTCCTTTTTTTCTCTTACATTTTATTTTACTGGGGGGGGGGAGTTGCAAGGGCAGAGGGTGGATACGAAGGACAGGGAGATGAATGGGATTGAGATGCATGATGCCAAAGACACGAAGAATAAATAAAAAGAAAGTTTTCAAAAGCTTTGCAAAGGAAACAAGGGCCTTGAAGATGAAGAACCCTCTAGAAGTTGAACAGTTATCCCAAGAATCTGCCTGTGAGTGGGAAGCCCAGAGGAATGAGAGAAGAGGTGGCCACTCACACCTTCTCTGATGCCAGGTTCCACTCACACTGTCCACTTTGAAGTTGATAGTGACCAAATGAGAGCCATCACGAAGCCAATCCTTTAAGACGACATGGGAATCAGTCAAGGAACTCAACATGGACTATGTGTAGTAGAATATTATTTTCAGGTATGTTACTTTTGTTTCTGTTGCATTTGTTAACTCTGTGAAGCTGTGTTACTGTGCCTGTCTAAAACACCTGATGGTCTAATGAAGAGCTGAACGCCCAATAGTGAGGCAGGAGAAAGGACAGGCAGGGCTGGCAGGCAGAGGGTATAAAAAGGAGAAATCTGGGAGGGAAGCCGAAGTAGCCAGAGAAGGAGGAGGACTCCAGGGGCCAGCCACCCAGCTACACAGCCAGCCACAGAGTAAAAGTAAGATTACAGAAGTAAGAAAAGGAAAAAGGCCAGAGGAAAAAAGTATAAGGGATAATTAAAGTTAAGAAAAGCTGGCTAAAGCACCAGGCTGAGCTCCAGGAGTCCAGGTGAAGAGAGAGAAGAGGGATTCTATGAGTAAGGGGCATCAAGACCATGATGGGGAAACGTACAGAGACAACCAAACCAAACTAGTGGGAACTCATGAATTGTGGACCAACAGCTGTGGAGCATCCATGGGACTGGACTAGGCCCACTGCATAGGAAAGACAGTTATGTAGCTTGAACTGCTTAAGGGCCCCCCCTGGCAGTGGGATCAGGATTAATCCCTAGGGCATGAGTGGGCTTTTTGGAGCCCACTGTCTATGGTGGGACACCTTACACAGCCTTGGTCCAAGGGGAGGGTCTTGGACCTGCCTCAGCTGAGTGTATCAGGTTCTGCTGACTTTCCATGGGAGGCCTTGCCTTGGAGGAGGTGAGAATGGGGGTGGGATGGGAGGAAAAGCTGGGGGTTGGGAGGAGGGAGGGGAAGGGATCTGTGGTTGGTATGTAAAATGAATAGAAATTTTTTTAATAAAAAAGGAAAAAAAAAGCTGGCTAGAAACAAGCCAAGCTAAGGCTGGGCATTTATAAGTAAGAATAAGCACTTGGGAGGCAGAGCCAGGTGGATCTCTGTGAGTTCAAGGCCAGCCTGGTCTACAGAGTGAGATCCAGGACAGGTACCAAAACTACATGGAGAAACCCTGTCTCAGAAAACCAAAAAAAAAAAAAAGTAAGAATAAGCTTCCATGAGTGATTTATTTGGGAACTGGGTGGGGGGCTCCCAAAAGAGAAAAAAAAAAACAAATAACAACAACTATACAACAGTCATTCTGAGGAGTCATTAAGTCATTAAGAGGACAGGCAGTCAGGAAAAGGCTCAAACTCCTGGGCAGCCAGCTTGTGGCTCAAGTTCTTCCATAACAAAACAAACACAAACCAGGAAAAGTATCCAAGAGGGGAAAATGAAAAGACTGTTATTAAGCTTGTAAGTCATAAAAAGTTGTATGACCTAATTATGCAAGTAATATATTTGAGTATCTCTTGAGTGGAACCCAATTTTGGAAATCCTAATAGACACTTATTATTATTATTATTATCATTATTAATTATTTTGTCAGAACTGGGGGCCTTGCATATGGTGAGCCTTCTTTCTCATTTTCTTCTAAGACCGGGTCTCCCCGAGTTGTCCAGGCTAGCTCTGAACTTACTCTGTAGTCCACACAAGCCTTGAACTTGTGTCTTCCTACCCTAGCCTCCTGAGTGACTAGGGTGACTTTACCACAACAGAAGAGATGGAGACCAGACTAGGAACAGTATGCCTAAAGTGGCTACTACTGTCTTCTAGGGAGTGGCCAAGGCTGAAAGAAGGTGAGGCAACCATGGATGGAGTCTAGGGGCCTTAGGAAGGGTGCTCCATGCACTAAATCAGTTTGTAGAGAAACTGAGGCAGCCCGAGTCCAGTTGTGGGGAAATGGCTTCTCCATCCCACTCTCTCAGACAGGTGGAGTTGCAGGCTGGCATTCTGATGAACAACTTCTCACCCTGGATCCCTGGGAATAATGTTTACAGATGAACTACATCCCGCTCATTCCTGGGCAGGGCAGGCACATGCTGCCTTTGGTGCCTTGATTCTTCAAACTTTAAAGCACTTAAGAGCTTTGGGAGATGTGAAGCCCCTGAATCTGCAGCCCGTTAGACACTGAAGTCCCCGTGAAGCTGCTGACAGGCCCGCTTAAGAGGATTATTAATGCTGTGTATGAAGAAGCTCGGCCGGGAGGCTGAGAGTGCATTTAGGAAGCACATCAGCGATTTCTTTAGCTTTAGCATCCGGCTGGTCACTGATCATCAGGCTTAGAAAGCCATTTGTGGGACTATGAACAGTTTCATCTTATTAAACATTGTTAGCACACGCTCAGCTTCCTGTGTGCCAGCCATTGTACTAAGCACCTTACGAAAAACCGCTGGCTGAGTGTTCACAGTAAGTATGCATGTCTGACAGCTTCCTCAGTCACGTTTTACAGGACAGGAAACTGAGAGAAGGCCACAGAGCTGGTCTGGATAACCAGGAAATTGCAGGGTCTCCTCTGGGAAGTCCATTTTGACCCCCACCCCCACCCCACTGTCATTCACCTCTGCTGGCTTCTCACTGTTCTTCACATGTTTCTATGGCAATCTATGTACCAACACATCAGCTCCAAAGCTATTCCCGCTCTTTCTCCCAAGGCCAGGGATGCAACGTACTTAGCCTGTGTTCTAATCAGTGCCTAATCATCACACACTTGCTAAAATGGGGTCTGCAAAGTTCAAGTTTGTATCTCTCATCTGAGATCCTGGAGTGCATGTGTGTCTTGAAATTCAGAGTCTTTCAGAATTTTGTATTTGTTACATTATACACTACAGGACTCCTGGAGGGATCTTGGACAGTCTCTATAATAAATATGAAAACATCCATGATGTGAGTAAATAAAGACGGTTGATGCAGAAACAGTCTAGAGCAATAGTCTAGAGGCTACATCATGAGGGCGGAGTGATCTTGATTTGATCTAGTCAAGAAAAGTCCTGTGCCTTCTGCTTCTAGGGTGGTGATGCTCTTTCTCTCCTGACCCAGAGGCTCCCTCAAAGGTCACCATCCTGTTGTCACATATTACCGTAGATGTCATGCCTTAAATCCACACAGCTTTATAATCTTACAGCTCTGGAGGTCAGAAACCCAGACTGCCTACCACTGGACTAAAGCCAAGGTGTTGCTGGGTCTGCATTCCTTGGGGGAGGCTCCAGGGAGCCCCCATGCTCTATTTTCTCCTACCTTCTACAGGCCACCCTCATTCCTCACTCATGGTTCCTTCCTCCATCTTCAAGCAGAGACAAAGTCACGTCTCTCGTTCCCCTTGCTGGGTCTCAGGCTCACCTGCATCCCTCTTTCATTGTAAGCAGCCTTTGACACACAGGGTCTGCCTGGATAATCTCTACATCCCAAAGACCCGACCCTAATTACACCTGCCAAATCCCTTTGCCTTGTACCATACCCACAGCTTTGGGAACTGACAGTGCGGAGCTATTTGGTATTATTCTGACTGTCACAGTGTGTCAAGTCCTTTTGCATTCCCAGCACCCACTGCAGGGATGGCGCAGAGTCCACGCATAACTCATGTTGGATGGACTTTCATTTGACAAGATTTCCGAACATCAGTTTATGAGTCTTTAAACTACCTGTTGCATCAAGAGACACAAAATGACCAGTTCTGTGCCCTGTACAAAAGGAAAGCTACAGACAACACTGAAAACAGAGGTCCCACCTCACGCAGCAGCAGGAAGGCCTACACACGCCATCCGTCAGGGATCTTGGTGTGCCAGTTAGGAAGAGCAGGATGCTAGCAGAACCCATAGGTCATTCTACAAAACTTGCTAGGGGATATAGACTATGTCACCACACGGCCCTGGGGCGATCCAGTCAGGATTTCTAAATAACTTAGTATCCAAATCTGAGGGAGCATCACCCATATTCTCGCTAGAACCTAAGAATCAGACTCTTCTAGGCAAACAACACACAGCTTTCCCACAGTCAACCCCAGGAAGCACACTTAGGGGTCAGTGAGCTCAGGTTTGCTACTTGACTGCTGTCTCTGGGGGTGCTCATCAGCCAGAGGAAGACACAGACTCCATCTTACAGTGCTGAGGGTGGGTGAGGACTGAAGAGAGGGCTCAGGGGTCAAGACATCGGCTGCTCCATTAGAGGAGCGGGGTTGGATTCCCAGCACCCACACAGTGGCTCACAACTGCCTATAATTTCAACTTCCAGGGGACCCTTCCGGGTCACCTACACACACACACACACACACACACACACACACACACACACACACACACCATCCTGCTCCTGTCTGTTTTCTCACCCCTTTCTGGGCTCTTAGGAAGAAGAGCTGCAGGTCCATCCCAGCCTCCTGCAATGCCTCGTCATGGAACATAACAAAGCCCCTCCTTGTCAGAGCCCCAGATAGGATGACTGGGAGGTGAACCCCCTAAAAAGGAGAGACTTCCCCAGCGTGTGCAGCTGTTTCATCTGATAATGGGGGTGATGCCTCACATATCTTTTAACTTTCTGTGCCAATATGATGTTAAAATGTCAAGCTGCGCAAACATGCTCCTGAATATATTTCCGCTTGTCACCTTCTGTTCAAGACAAGACCTCAAATTACAACTAATCAACACAGAGAGGTAACAACTATAAACTATTTTCTGTAGGACTTGGAATAATGATAGCAATTATGCTAATTAGAAAAGCAATACTGACGTAATTAGTGTTTATTCAGCACAAACCACACACCAGGCATTGTTCTGAACACATGACAGCGTTTCATTTTCGGCAATCTGAGGAAGCAGCTCCTCTTCAACCTCCCCTTCTTAGATGAGGAAAATGGGGCAGACTGGCTAAGTTGTTTGCCCACGAGACACACATCTATTAAGTAGTGGATGCAGGATGAACCTTGGGCAGCCTGGTCCTTGAACATACTTTTAGATACAAAAACCCGTACCCTCTCAATTTGGAAAGCAAAGAGACTTCCTCTTGCATTCAGGAGCTATCAGGAACCTGCAGACAGAGTCCTTCCTTCCTAGGTTCCTTGTTTCTCTAGAAAACTCCAACCCATCTCCCACCACTATGCTCTCTCTCAGACTTTGCAAAGCAACACACACACACACACACACACACACACACACACACACACACACACACACACACACACACGGAGACTCCAGGGTGGTATTTACTCAGTAACCGTTAGACTCGTCTATACCACTCATACGTAAATAGCATCAGCTTTACAAAGGACGCTAAGGCAGGCTTTTCTGTGACACGATCTGCCCTACAACACTGTGGTTTGAGGTTTACCCAAGATTGTATTGCAGGTCCTCCCTGACTCACAATGGGGCTAGCTCCAGATAAAGCTATCCTCAGTTGGGCCAGGTAGTGGTGGTGGCCCATGCCTTTAATCCCAGCAGAAGCTGAGGCAGGTGGATCTCTGTGAGTCTGAGGCCAGCCTGGTCTATATAGAGAGTTCCAGGACAGCCAGAACTGTTATATAAAGAAATCTTATCTTGGAGAACAAAACAAAACAAACCAAAAACCAAAAATAAAACAAACAACAACAAAAACAAACCAGAAAAAAAGCTATCCCCCGTCGGAAATGCTGAGTCAAGAACACAGTGAACACACCTGCCCCAACCAGCATCCCAGCTTAACATCCCAGCACACTGTTAAGCATTGGACGCGTTTTTCTAGTGAGCTGCGGGTTGGCATCATCTACTCAGCCTGGAGGTACAGATTCAGACTACACATTGTGCCAGAAAACCTGAAAGATCCTGAGCTGAACCCCTATGAGGGCTTGAATGTATTGCACATTTGGTCCCCAACCGGTGGTGCTGTGTTGGGAGGTTGTGGAAGCTTTAGGAGGTGGACTCCTGGGGAGTTTATGGCAGTGTTCTGCCTCTGGTCCACTCTTTGCTTTCTGATCTACCCATTCTGAAGAGAACCAGCTCCCATTGCCACAGCCAGGGGGCTGACTACTCCTGTCCCCAGGCTTTCCGCCATGATGGCCTGTTAACTGTGAGCCCACATCTACTGTTCCCAGAGACAATAAGAGTGAGGACTACTACAGCCCCCCTGAGCTGGGCCCAGCTCTCCACATGATGATACACACAGGCATTGTACCACTTGGCAGGGGGGTGGCTGGGCTATGCCACATGACTTTACTTCAATACATATCATACACTGGAACGATGGCAGACTGCCGTTTGTCCATCTGGCTTACCAAAGCTACAAACTTTGAGCCACCTTGCATTAGAACCACTGGATCCTCATCAGGCAACGAGTCCCCCAGACTCCAAGCAAACAGACCCAAAGCCACCCCAGTCGCTCCAGTCACCTTACTTGTTAATGTTGCTGCCTTCTTTCAGCCGCTCGCCCGCTGCTCCTGTCTTCGAGACTCTCTCGCTCCCCGCCAGGTCTACCAGGCTCACCTTGCTGACTTTCTCGCCCGAGTTCTAATGGCAGGAAATAAGAGAGAAACCGCCATGGAGGAAAGCCACCTGGATACTGACATATGGATCAACACCGTGATCCACAACACCACAAAGCGCTCCGGACACTAATCACAGTTATGTCAGCCAGCCAATCACTTCCTAGGAAAGCGCACTTTAAATCTTTTGACTTTGCATGTTTGTAATGGCACGTGTGTATCCCACCTTGTTGAAGCAGGCTCGCCCTGTTAGCCTCAGTGGTCCAGGCTTGCTGGTCCACAGGCTCCTGGGATTCTCCCACTTCTGCTCTCCCCGCTCACTTCATTATAGGAGTGCTGGGATTACAGATGTGCGCCACCACATTTGACTTGACGTGGATTACGGGCTTTACCCACCAAGCCATCTTCTGAGCCCCTAAGTCAAAATTTAAAACAGTGCAGAAATCTAACATTCTGCTCTGCAGCTGGGGAGAAAGTTTCCAGACTTCCAGGGCAGTCAGAAGTTAGAGGTTTTATCCACCTTGGAGGAAACACGAGCACATGAAGCTCCTTTGCATTTGGGTCAAATTCTACCTTTTTGAGATGTGGGTTTTAGATTGAATGTTGTAGTTTTTTGTTTTTTGGGTTTTTTTTTAGCATCCCTCGGTAGCCATGAAGTAGACTTGATCAGTTTTGGGGAAATTTTAGTAAGAAAGAACACATATTTAAAAGTTGTATGGAGATGTCACCATGCTAGTTAGGATATTTACACACAAAATCCATTTCTTTTTTTCAGACAGTCTCAAGAAGTGGAGGATGGCCTTGAACTTCTAGGTTTTATGCAGCACTGGAGAATCGAACCCAGGGCTTCATGCATGCTAGGCAAGCACTCTACCAACTGAACTATACCCCCAGCCCTAAAAAACGTCAATTAAAAAAACACCAGGAAGGCCTAACGACTTAGGTGAATTAAGTAACACAAATGGTAAGATGATAACACACAGTTCTCAGGCTCTGAATCCAACTGTGAAACATGTCCCCTGTTTATACTCTGAGCTCCCCAACCTCAAAAGGTTCTGCCTTGTCCCTCACCCCAGACTGCAGGTCGTACAGCGTCTGCGTGATGATGATGTTGAACACAGCATGGGAGCGGCTGCTCTCTTCATTCATGTTGGTTGCAGCGACCGTCCGTGACTTATTTCCCTCAGACATCAATGACTCGATGTCCTAAAGGCAAAGACCAAGAGAGCACTATGAGAAAACACAGAGGTACACCCTGCACCCCAGGAGTGTGCTCAGTATGATCCCACGCCTCAGCCATCCCCTTCCACAGAAACAGCCAGGCTCTTTTCCACACAGCGAGGCTCGCGCCTCCTCCCCACACAGAGCCTTCCTCCTTCTCCGCTCGAGCTCACTTCTTGTCCTGCTAACATCCCACTCGCTCCTTCGAACGTTCCAGAAGAGCAGACACTTACTGAGTACTGCACACACTCAAGAACAGTAGTTACCTCACTTAATTCCAACTCTCCTATACCTGTCACCAGGTATGGCTGCCTGTCCCCTGCTACCTGCCTCCCTCTGTGGACAATGGCTCTGCAAGAGCAGGGAACCTTCTCTGTTATCTTTGTAGCCTCGTTCCTAGTACACAGCCGGAGCCTGTGGGCTCTTAGGAAACATTTGCTGAATGAATGCTATGGAAGAAACTCGTCGCACACCAAGATGCTGACGTTCACGGAGGTCATCTAAGATTCCCCGTATCTAGGGAGAGGTAGCACTCAGGTGCAGGTGAGTTCCCTGGCTGTGAGTAATAAGTGACAAGATGACAGGTACTGAGCTCCATCACCATTAGCTGGAAAAACGGGCTTAGTCAAAGTGCTGACTGGGCACCTTTGAGTCAGAAGGGCTGTTTATCCTCATCAGAACCTCAGTGCATTTAAGTGAATAAGTCCAAATCTAACGTGAGAAATACAATATGTTTTTGTTTAAACAGCTGGGTGCTGATCCTGTCTTCATCTTACTTTACTAAGTCTCAGATGATAATGGGTCTCCTACGTCTCATATATTGTAAGCAAATATAGGGGCTTGTTTATTTATTCATTCTCTTATTCATTGGCGTTCTTCAGTAAAAGAACTAGAAATCTGTGTGGTAAGACTTCCAGGGTAATGACTATAGAAATAACAGCAGAGCATTACGTCTGGGTATGAAAGTCAAGGACAGGGAGGAACACAGATCAATTCTTGGGTAAAGGAATGTTCAGAAAAGCAGGAGCCAGCAGAATGAAGAGTATTAGAAATCAAAGCAGGGTCTGCCTACAAGAAGTGGATTAGTTAACTACCAAATACTGCACAGACTACCAGATTTCTTCAGAAGGATGTCAACGACCACTTTGGGGAAATGTTTCAACAGAGGCAAGAGAGAAACACTCAGCAACCTGAGGTCACCAGATGTTGTGGCCTCACTGTGAACTCTTCACAACAGGCATCTAGAAGTGTGACTGAAGGACTTGTCTCCCTGGGTGTGCTGGTCTGTACCCTGAGATTGTGAATGGCATCAGTATGCCATCGCATATCCATACAAAAACAGGCTCAGCATCGCCTATTCTGACTTACTGCCTTTTCTTCTTTAATGACGCTAAAAAACAAACAAACAAACAAAAAACCCAACTCTGACTCTTACCTCAAAGCTGGTGACAGCCAGCTGTGACAGACCATCTACATATGGCCCCAAGACCTTGTGTTCTCGGACTTTAAGAGACTGCCTGCTCCTGGAGGGGGAGAAGAACCAGACTGAATGATCTTATACACCTGGAAGCTTTGCCTTCTCCTAAGCATTTGGAAATTCAGATTACAGTTTCAAAAGGGATTTTAGTGATTAGAAGGTATTATGATAGCCACTTTACATGGACTAACAAAACAGCAATGTGAGAAACGCATTCGACTCTGATTTCAAACATTGATACTATTTTAAAATGTCTCTCTGTCTCATCCCAAGAAAAGTCAAAGCAGCTAAACCTAGGCTGGGTTCCCCTGTGTGAGGAGATAAATAAGCCTGTACATTCTTTATCAAGAACTATGGTGGTATTTTATTTGAACTGAAATGTGATTTTGATTGTATGTTAATAAATAAAGTTGCCCGGGGGGTCAGAGCCATTAGAGCCATAGAAAGAGTGTGGCGGTGGTGGCGCACACCTTTAATCCTAGATCTCTGTGTGTTCAGGGATACAGCCAGCATTGGAGAGATATGCCTTTAAGACCTGGAGGGCTGTACATTCAGACAGTGATGAGGCAGTCATGTGTTTGGGTTTACAACCAATGAGAAGGCAGAACAGAAAGACTATTTAAAGACATACACACAGGAAGTAGCTCTCTTTCGGGGAGCAAGGACCACCGCAGAAGGAAGGGTAAGATTTTAGCTCTGAGCTCTGACCTCTCGGCTTTCTCTTTTACATTGGTTCTGTGTTTCTTAATTAATAAGACAGTTGGTTACATCTACAAAGAACATCATAAATTCTTCTTGATAATGTCCTTATTTATCCTCTTGAGAATTCTAAATAAAACACTTGGATTATATTCTTTCCCCTCCTCAACTCCTCCTCACCCACCCAGCTTCATGTTTTTTCTCTCTTAAGGTTAAAATTATTTTAAAGAGATTTATTTATTTATTAGGTACACAGTGATCTGCCTGCATGTATGTCTGCAGGCCAGAAGGCATCAGATCTCATTATAGATGGTTGTGAGCCACCATATGGGTGCTGGGAATTGAACTCAGGACCTCTGAAAGAACAGCCAGTGCTCTTACCTCTGAGCCATCTCTCCAGCCCCTAAAATTTTTGAGTAAATACTGAACAATAATAAAATATTTTAAACTTTCATTTACTTTTTCAAGTTTCGCTGACTTAGTAGGCCATATGTTGGCAATTTTATACAGAAAGTCAAGTAATAACACAATTATAGCCACTGATGTATGCTGTGGGATGTTCTGTATGTCCTGTGGGAGCCTGTTCTTGGGTTCCTCATGGCTTTACCCAGCAGGTCTGCATAGAGGATGATTAGGACCACGGGCCTGAGTGCAGGTGTCTGAGATGGTCTGCACTTGGCTGTGCTGTGGGATGGTCTGTATGTCAAGTTGCTCTGATTGGTCAATAAATAAAACCTGATTGGCTGTGGCTAGGCAGGAAGTATAGGCAGGGCTAACAGAGAGGAGAAATAAAAGAACAGGAAGGCAGAAGGAGTCACTGCCTGAAGCAGCCGCCATGACAAGGAAGATGTAAAGTACCAGTAAGCCACGAGCCACATGGCAAGGTATAGATTTATAGAAATGGACTAATTTAAGATATAAGAACAGTTAGTAAGAAGCCTGCCACGGCCATACAGTTTGCAAGCAAAATAAGTCTCTGTGTTTACTTGGTTGGGTCTGAGCGGCTGTGGGACTGGTGGGTGAGAGAGATTTGTCCTGACTGTGGGCCAGGCAGGAAAAATCTAGCTACAGATGTGTGATATCTGTACTGGCTCTGCTGATGGCAATTTTGGGGCTCTAATTAATGTGTGTGTGTGTGTGTGTGTGTGTGTGTGTGTGTGTGTGTGTGTGTGTGTTCTGTCTGTGTGGGCACTCATGTGTCTGAGATGGTATACATATGGATGTCAGAGAAAAGTAGGTTCTCACCTTTTACCTGGGAACAAATTCACATCGTTGGGCCCAGCAGCAAATCCCATGAGCCATCTCACTACCCCTCTAGGGCTCTTGAGAATTTTAAATGGCTACCTCTGATTTGGGATCCATTTGAGACGTTTATCAGACAAATGAGATTTAAAACTTGAAGCTATTAGATTTTTCCTGTATTGTAGGTGCCATCTTTTTTATGGCATGGGGTATTTAATCGTCTTTCAAAGAGTTAATGCTTGGCGTCTCTCAGATGTGGGAAATCCCTGGTGCTTCTGAAAGTCTTGGCAAAGTTTCTGAAGCATTTTTCAGCTATCCCTTTTAATCTCACTTTTAAGGATGAGAATTCGAGGTAACTATAGCAACTCTGCTGGTCTCAGAGACCAACCAATCTGATCTTCAAGATAGCTACTGTCATGTATACAGCCCAGCAGTGGCTCCTTCTCCTTACCAACCAGATGCTGGTCTGCAGCCCAACAGCAAGAAGCCACCTAGCATACTATCAAGGGGCCCTATGCTGATATCTGGAATTCCTGCACGCTGCTGCTGCTCTATTTAATGAAACAGGCGCCTCCTTATCTTGTGACTCACAGTCCTATCTGCAGATGAATCCTCTAGAAACTCCTGTATCTATGTGCCAGGAGGCCTGCGTATGGAAGCTCAGAGCAGCACTGTCCCTAGGAAATGTGATGCCACACAAGTGACGAGAAAAGGGACAAACTGTGTTTGATCATGCAATGGACATTAAACAGGAGTAAAAACTATCACATTATTGTCCCATATAGAAAAATGAATGAAATGGATATATGCTGGTGCGGTTTATGCAAAGCTAAAATTGTACAAAATCATGGATAAACGCTACGGAAGAGAAAGAGAATGGTACATATAAAATTCCTAATAGCAGTTACCTTGGGGACCAGTGGGGAAAAGAGTAGGGGTCTAGGGGGACATATAGGAAGATTAAGAATTCCTGGTCAGGTTCCATTTTCTAAGACAAGTGACCAGTAGGCAGAGGTCGGTTTTGTTATTCTTTTGACCTCACAAACGTTCTCGTGTATAAGCAGTTAGTGACTCTCTCAAGTAAACACAACCTTTTTGATGACCAGGGGACATTCTTGATGTCTATAATATTATTGTTAAAACTCTTCCTTTCATTAGGGACCACAGGAGTGGGAAGTGGGCAGGAATGTTAGAGATCACAGAGCTGCTAAAACAACCGAAACGTATTTAATGGTATTTAATGTGGGGATGTGGTCACCAGGTTACATAGGAAAGTCAGGACACTGGACTGCCATTTGTGAAATACTTGAGGATGGGGGCATGTCCACACATGGCACAGATCTGAAACAGCAGGGAGACACACTCAGGTGTTAACTAAGGTTATTTCTGAGTGGTGTGATTAAATGTCAGCTTCATTTCTTATAGTTCGTAAGATGCATATGCCCTTTCTATATTTTTTCCCAACAATCTATTACTTTTAAATCAAAGCAAACTTTTGCCTGGAATCAAACTCATCTGGTTTTTAATCACCTAGTTTTTTGTTTTGTTTTGTTTGCTTAGATTTTTCAAAACATGGTCTCTCTGTGTAGCCCTGGCTGTCCTAAAACTTGCTCTATAGACCAGGCTGGCTCCAAACTCAGAGACCTGCCTGCCTCTGCCTCCCCAGTGCTGGCATTAAAGGCGTGCGCCACCATAGCCTGAATCACCTAGTTTTTGAAAGATGTAGATGCCTGGGTTCCACTGGCATCTCCTAAATTGTTTAGAATGGGTGTGGGAGCTCAAGCCAGTCAAGACTCTCAAAGAGCTCCCTACATGCTCCCAACACATAACCAGGGAAGGAGCGGTGGCTGCAATCCTCCTACCACTTTATTTCCAACTCAGAGTTGCCATTTTCCATTATGAATGCAAGGACCAATGTGTAATTAGTAGCACAATTTTCTGTTGTTTCTTTGAGACAGGGTTTCACTACATAACTCTGGCCTGGAACTCAGCCCAGGACAGCCTCAAACAGGCAGTAATCCTCCTGCTTCAGCCTTGGAGTGCTGGGATTATAGGCATGCACCACATCACTCAGATCTATAATTCATATTTATTTCATTTCATTTTATTTATCTTATGTATATGAGTGTTTCTCCCTAATGCATGTCTATGCACCATATGTGTGCAGTACTCACAGATGTCAGAAAAGGGCAACAGATCCCTTGGGATTGGAATTATAGACAATTATTAGCCACCTTGTGGGTGCTGGGACTGGAACCCGGGTCCTCTGGAAGAGCAGCCAGTGCTCTTAACCACTGAACCATCTCTCCAGCTCCTGTAACTTAATTTTAGTGAATTGTCCCTGGTGACAAAAAATAATACCAGTAGTAAAAAAAAAAAATCTTTTGACACGGTGATGTGAGTAACTTTACACGCAGTTTAGGATAAACTGCATACAATTGACACAGTGAAAAGTTTTGGGAAGCTCCTCACTTCAGTACATGAACTAACATCAGAGCAGTGACCAATGGCTCAAATATGTACACACCCTTGCAACTTTAATTTTAAGATCATTTAACTCTATTCTATCGATTTTCAAGCTTTATTTCAAGCACCCACTTACCCTTTGGGGTCCAAGAGGTCCCGGACTTTCTCATTATAAATTTCCATATATGATACTTCGACTTTAAAGGTCTGTGACTCATTTTGCTCCAGGGAGATCCTTTTAAACAGAGCACAGCAGAGCCTTGGGATAAGGCCCAGCTGCTCAGCATGGCCCATCATAGAGAAGGACTTTCCAGAGCCTGGAAAAGAGTGAGCAGAGAGATGGAAGGGTAGGAGAAAAAGCAAGCTGAATGCTTCAGTAACACAAGGTGCTTTTGTTCAACACCCAAAAGCCATCCAGAAAAAAATGGAGTTAGTTTGACCTCAAACCCAGATCCCTGAACAACGCTTACTCAGTTACTCTTTTCTCCTTTGCTTTAGAACCTCTGGTCTATTTTCAAAAGGTTGGTATGATCCATTAGGTATGAATGAGTGCCTAGGAATGCAACCACTACCAATGGACCCTTGGAGAGCAAGCCTGATAAAGTCACACCTTCCACGAGGTAGTATGGAAAGTGTTGTGTGTGTACGAATGTGTACACAAGTGCCTGTGTGTGTACAGAGCAGAGGTCAACTTTGGGTGTCATTCCTTTTCTGTCATCCTTGTTATTTGAGGCAAGGTCTCTCTCTGGCTCCAGAGCTTGCCAGGCACACAACAAGACTGACTGGCCATCAAACTCTAGAAATCTATCTGCCGCTGCCTCTGGATTATAAGTGCATGCCATCATGCCCAGCTTTTCTACATGGGTTCTGGTGATTAATGTGAAGTCCACAAGCCTGTAAGGCAAGCCTTCTACAAGATGAGCGATTTTCTTAGTTCTGGATAAAGGTTTATGGGGATCCAACATTGCACACACAGCAAAATCCCAGCAGTACAGTAAGCAACATGAACAGGATGTCACGGTTGGACTTATCACATACTACATTATCTGCATTCTCTTTCTGGATTTTTGTATAGTGTAATGCAGTAGGAGGAAGCGTTATTAAGAATTATTATTTATTTCCACTTTGAAAGAGCAATAGCTCAGAACAATAATAGCTGGATCACAACCTCATTTTGGATCTGTCCATTGTGACCAATTGCTCCACCTGCCTCATTAGAACCCACCATCATTTCTGTAGCCATGTGGAAGTCTCGGTAGTGGAGGAGGCTTCTAAAAATTTTTGTATTGATTCTACTAAAACATTTACACTGAGAAACTGGTGATTAGCTTTCCAGTTCAAATGTGGGTTAAAACTATAATTTAGGAAAATGACACTTAATGGTTTGGAACTAGCTACACTCATTAACACTGAAATCAGGCAATTACCAGAAATGGTGCATTTTCAAAAAGCGGGATACTTTTGATTGCATGAGTCAGTTCAGTCCAAAACATCACGAGAATTTTTCTGGGTTCTTAAGATCCCCCTGCCTTTTAAATGTTAGGAAATTATATTTAAGGTATGGATGTAGCTCAGTGGAACACAATTCATGCTTGGCACATAGGAGGTCCTGGATTGAATCCCTACTACCACAAACAAACCAAAAAACAAAGAGAAGGAAACATTAATTAACTAATTAATTAACTATTTTAATTAAGTGCTAGGGATTAAATCTAGGATTTTACATGTGTTAGGCAAGCACTCTTCCACTGACCTACATCCTTTCAAACACTTGTTTCTATCATCGACTGCAATAAAGGTAACATCTTACCTGTCTGGCCATATGCAAAAATACAAGCATTGTATCCCTGAAAGGCTTTCTCAAGAATTCCTTCCCCGAGGCACTTGAAAACGACTTCTTGACCTAGAAAAGAAGACAAACAATTAAGATTTATTCATTTGATGTGCATGTGTGGGTACCTACACAAGCCAGAAGAGGGGATCCGGCTCCCTGAAGCTGGAGTTTCACGTACTTGTGAGCCAAGTGACGTATCGTCTTAAGAGCAGCAAGCACTCTTCACTGCTGAACAATTTACCCAGCCCCCAGACAGATATTTAAAAGGAAAATTAAAAAAGGGTGATTTGTGTTGAGATGTGTGGGTTTTTAAAAAGAGATTTATTTTATGTGCATGAGCATTTAGCTTGCGTGTGTGTGTGTGTGTGTGTGTGTGTGTGTGTGTGTGTGTGTGTGTATACCACATGTGCAGTGCCCTCAGAGGCCAGAAGAGGGCGTTGGATCCCCTGGAACTGAAGTTACAGACAGTTGTGAGTCACCATGTGAGTTCTGGAAACCGAACCTGGGTCTTCTACAAGAGCAGCAGGTGGTCCTAACAGGTGAGTCATCTCTCCAGCCCTCTAAGGATGTATTAGTACAACCTTCTCTCATCCCCTCCTCTCAAAATTTAAAGGTATACACAATGCTTACTATACAGCTACATGTAAGAGCTGAACAAAGGCAGCTCCATGCACATAGGGTCTTGCTATGTTGCCCAGGTTGATCTCAAACTCACAAGTCCTGGTGACCCTCCTACCCCAGCCTGCTCAGTAGCTGAGACGTCAGGCGTGGATAACCACACCTGGCTCGCAATATCAGTTTTGCTCCTAAATTATAGCTGAACATCTGGCTTAAGTCATAATTCCATACTGCATCCTCTTTGACTTTTCTCTAGGGTTAAAGTTTCCACTCCTTGTTAGCAGGCTGGATAAAAGCGCTGTCAAACTTGGTTTCCTCTGCTTAGCTATTCCATCTAAATGTTATTCAACAGGAACTGTCTTGTTTCCCCATCTGGACTCAGTTTCCAACTCGTGAGAACCATGGCATACTTTTCCTATGTCCACTTCTTCACCGTGCAAAGTGTTTGCACAACCAACTGCTCAGAAACTGCTCACCAGTGGGCGTGAGTGATGGTTAATACTGATTGTCAGTCAACATGACAGGATCTACAATCCCCTAGACAGCAAGCCACTGGGCATGCCTCTGAGGGACTGTCTAGATTAAGTTAACATGGGGCGGACCTTAATTGTGGGCAGTAGCATCCCATGAGCTGGTATTCATCCTGGACTGAATAAAAAGGAGAAAGCGAGGTAAGCATAACCACTCATTGCTCTCTCCTCCCCGACTGCCAGCAAGATGTGGTCTGGGGCCTCACGCCGCTGCTGCCATGTTCTCTCTGCTGTGATGGAGTTCCTCTGGGATTGGGAGCCGGGAGAAACCTTGCTTCCCCAAACTGCTTTGACCAGGGGGCTGTGTCAGAGCAACAGGAAGAGGAACTAAGACACTGTCATTAGTAGATTCACAGGTCCACTTCATCTGTGTTCTCACATGAGGACAAAGACCAGTTCTGTCTCATGAATCCTTGCCAGAGCCCAGCTCCTGGGGCTTCTCCCATGAACCACACTAAGGTGGAGAGGGACAGAGTGTATTACGGCGTGTTTATTACACAGTCAAGATGGCATGCACTTCCTCACGTTGACTTCCCAACAATGAAGAGAATTACATTACACTTCCTTACTCCACATTCCTATGGTTTCCAGAACATTCACTCTTAGAGCATCTACAGGCACTACTGACTTAGGGACTATTTCCAGGCCTGGAAGGAGAGCACCCTGATATCAGAGATGACAATCTTTTTATCTTTGTAATCCTAGTGTCTTGTATGAAATGCCTAATAAATATTTGTTGAAAGAATGAGTCAGTTTAATCATTTTGTCTTTCAGTATATTTGAAAATCTCCTCATATTCAAAAATAACAAACTGCAAGCTATTACTGGCTGTGTATTTCTTTTTCATGGGAAGTTGGATAGGATTTTAGCACTGCCTTGCTGAACGTCAAGACTGCAGGACAAGACTCTTCAAAGACTGTCAACAAGGGATAAAAGCTGACGCTTCGACCACTAAGCTGCCAAAGAGTGAAATTCTAGCAACATCAAATACTGCTGAGTTGTAGAGAAAGACATCATAAACCGCTGCTGAGAGAATCACTTCAAGTGGCCATTCTGAAGGAAAGCCTGACATTGGAAAGGAGTGAGCCTCCACTCTGCCCCACTGTGAGCCTCTCTCTGAGTGACACACTCCCCCACATGTCCCTGGATGGTTTGGCACATTGTTTACCATGCTATCAACTGCAGTCAAGTTAAACACCCATTATTAGTACGGGAGCGGATGTCTTAAATGTACACATTTCAGAATGAAAAAGGATACACTGAAAAATTGAAAAATACTTCCTGTCAGCAATTGTAATATTAAGAAGCAATACTGAATAGGGAAAGCCATGTCACAGTAGTTATATACGACGTAAAGTGTCATATACATCATAATGCATGAGACACCCACAGGGAGAAAGAGAAGGTGGAATGTCAAAATTGGCAAAATGAGTCAGAAAAAAAGATTCCAAGTTTGCATTGTCTTACTTCTTTTCCATTTCTAACACCTACCGTTTAGTATACAGCTTACTCAAAACAAAACATGTTGGGAGAACACAGAGATTTTTAAAGCAAATAGAATTGTAACAGGCTTTTCTAAACACACAGTGTGTTGTGAAGTGTGTGCGCACAAGCCCTCCAACAGGAAGGTGCTGCCAGTATGACACACTCTAGACCCCGCTCTTACGTCACAGCCTGCCCCAGGGCTCTTGGGCTCCCTTCATATACACCAGGATCTGCTCCTACTTTTTTCAAAGGACTCCCCTTATTTCTCTATGCACTCCGGGCTCCACTCCAAAGGGCAGGGCAGGCCTTAGTCTGGAGCTGAGCCTGGCCTAGGGAGGATGCAGAGTAAGTCAGCTATGCTCAGGCTTGCTGGAACTGCCTGTGGTCCTCGGCCAGACTCAAGCCTACTCCAAAGCTTTCTCAGCCCAAGCAGCTGACCACACCAATCCTGTCTGCTCTTCCATGACGATTAACCAACCCACAGGCAGGACAGGAGCTCTAGCTACCTGGCCATACCTCACAACTTCAATTCTTCTGACACGGGGGAAACAACACAAAACAAGAATACTGTATTGGTTTATCTTCATTGTTAACTTGACTGGACTTAGAGTTACCATGGAAACACCTCTGGGCGTGCCTATAAGGGTATTTCCAGAAGTTTAGCTGAGGAGGAAAGACCCACCTTGAGTGTGGGCAGCACCATCTCCTGGGCTGAGTAAAAAGAAAGCAAGCTGTGCACAGTGCTCATTTCTATCAGCTCCCTGACCTCAGACACGATGTGACCAGTGCCCCCATACTTCCTGTCACCATGATGGGAGGGAGTCCTGCAAACTGCAAGCCAAAATAAACACTTTTCCCCTCAAGTGGCTTTCTGTTAGGTTTGCTCAAACAACAAGCAAGTGGAGGGCTTGGATGTGACCACCAATGTTCCCTGGTTGGAAATCCAATCCCCAGAGCAAGCTTGTCAAGACGGGAGCCCTTTAAGAGAAGACTAGGCAGGTCACTAGGGCTCTGTCTTCATGAATGGGGTAATGTGATCACAGAAGTGAGTTTGTGAGCGAGCCAAGGATGGCCCTTTGTTGTGGGATATGTATACACTGTGTGCAGATGTATTGCTGTGATGGGTGTAATAAAAAGCTTGATGGCCAATAGCTAGGCAGGAGAGTATAGGCGGGCCTTCTGGGCAGAGAGAGAACTCTGGGAGGAAGAAAGGCAGAGTGCAGAGGAAACAGGGTGGGCAGTATGGAGATGAGGTAACGAGCCATGTGGAAAAATGAGGATTAAAAAATATGGGTTAATTTAGGTTATAAGAACTAGTTAGGAACAAGCCTAAGCGAAGGCCGAACTTTCCTAATTAATAACAAGTCTCTATGTCATTGTGGGCTGGCAGTCCTGACAAAGAAGTACCAGTACCGCTCCTCTCACTCTCCGACCGCCTGGTACCTTCTGCAGCAAGAAGACCCTCTGCAGGCGCCACCCCTCAATTCAGAACTTCTTAGATCTGTTGTTTATAAATTACCCAGATTCAGGGAATCCCTTAGAGCAGCACAAAACAGACTGAGACAGAGTTTGAGCTGAGAAAAGGACTCAGAGTACAGAATCACGAAGTCATTAATAAACCAGCATTTTAAATCTCTTCCAGGATCAGGTAGTGCAATGTAGGATTTCCAAATTTTGCTCCTGACACTGAATAGGCTGGATGTGGGAGGAGTATCTTTATTTCAAGGGCAAATAACATCTTTTCTTGGCTGGAATAGAAATTAAAGCTAAAGATAATCAGTTGGAAGAAACATCCAACAAATCAGGTTATGTGTGCTAAAATCATATGAAAAATAATCAAAGGATTCCCTGGTATATAAAGATGCAAGAACTATTTTGTTTTATTTCGCTATTTATTTATTGTTTTATTTTTTGATGCAAGGTGGCCTTGAACTTCTGATCTTACCCCTCTGTTACTTTGAGAGTAAATTCAGGTATGTTGGCACCTGTCTGGAAGTTGAGCTCTTGAGTGGTAGAGGGAGGCAGACTAGGAATTCAGGGTCACCTCAGATATAAAACAAGTTTAAGGCTGATGTGGGATACCTGAGACCCTGCCTCAAAAGCAACAATAGCAGTAATAACATCAATAATAACAACAGCAAACAAACAAACAAACAAAAAACCTGGTGAATTTTAGTTTATACTATGTCCAAACTCCAGGAAATACTAAATAATACACAACTAATCTACCTTGTATTTATGTTTCTGAGAAGAAGGAAGAGAAGGACTCCCCATCCAGGGTCTTATCTGTAGTCACACTTGACAGGTTTCCGTTGGTGGATCCTCACAGTACACAGAACAGGTATAAATATGATGACAGGTGACCGGGGTCTGAAAGCTTGTCACTTAGCAAGACCTCACTGCTGGGAAGTGCAGCTGGATATTCAGTCATAGTCA